GATTAACCTTTAATCTCAGTTCAACTTACTCCAATTCTAAGAATTAGAAAAAGGTAAAGAGTAAGTTGAACCGAGATTAAAGTAATCTACATTGGTGGATACAAGTATTATTCGATTATCTATAAGTAATAACTTTTGATCAGCGGTTCGACTATTCCGATGCGAACAATCGAGGGAATTCCCGTATTTAAAAATTTTAATGGCGCCAGCGTTTTTCGCGCTTCTCGTGGCTAATTTCGCGCGGTGGCTGGACCGATATGGAGCGGAGCGCAGAAAGTTCAATGTTAATACGTGACTCTCGGTTAATTGCCGTCTCGTCGATTAGATACACGGAAAGAAATCAACATGGGTCGAGCGAGATGAGAGCAAGCTATTGCATCGCGACGCATCTATGCGTCGGAAAACCTTCTGAGACGCGTTCAGATTCTCACTTACATATATGCCATCCAGATATTTTCTAATCTTTCTTTAGCATTTGTTGAATAATAAGGACAAAATAATACTTCTGTGATAACTTAAATGAAAATCTGAACATAGCTCTGAATATCGCCGCGATCGTCCGAGTTTTAAGCCCACATAACGTATTGGATTGAATTCGTTGCGAATTGAAGAGAGTTTAATCGATCAGAACGGATTAAAATTAAAATTATCTGACTGATCAAATTTTAATTTCTAATTTGCAATCCTCAGGCTCCAATAGTAGTGTAACACTGGCTTTAGGCTGCATTTGGTTTGGGCGCTTACATATTGTAAACTTTATTCTACCTTTCTTCTGTATATGTGGTGTTCTGTAATGATAAAAAAAACGAATGAAGCTTATAGCGCGTGAGTGTCCAAACTGAACGCAACCTTAATAACATGCATAACGGGATTAAACATGCACGTATCGTGACAAGTAGGTATATTTTGCGTGAAATTGGAATATTTGAATGATGACTCATCCGAATTCTTGAGTAGCGATGTGATAAAGTAAGTAGAGCTTTTTAATTACGATGATCGTCTTTTTACTTACAGTGTAATTATATAGAATGTTGCAATGGCATAATCAGTAAATATTCGGTTGATTAATTCGATGGTCATTTTGAATTAATTTAGTTAAATTCAATGTATTTTCAAAGCCAATACAATAATTACACTGTTGGTTTTTGTCTTCATTCATGTCTACTTCTCGAACGTAGATTAATTTACATTGAGAGAAAGATGTTTGTGATTATTATGCAAATAATTATGATTAGGATCTTTATTTTCATAGTTATTATTACTATAATGTTAGTGATAATAACCTTATAATTTTATAAAAAGATATGTATGTAATTTTAATTTATATATAATTGACACAAAAATAACTATAAATTATGTTAATAGTAATCATTTTTTCTTTTAATGTAGTCTTGTTTAACTTTATTTTTTATCTTTTTCCAATTTTAAGAATTAAAAAGACACCAGGGAATAAATAAGCCAAGATTAAAGTTTACTTATATTAGTCAAAATAAAAATCAATGATGGATATACGCGACATTTAATAATGACATATTACGGAACGTTTAACGTATTACGAGCTATGCCAGAATATATTTAATACCTTTTTTGTAATTAATAAATAATATAATATTAATTAGCAGAGTGATTTCCTGTTTAAGAATTTATGTTTATTTAATGATATTACTCCGACAGCATTTCTCATTTACGGACTTAGAATTTTTTCTAAAAATAATCTTCGGGTGGTGTGTGCGTGCGTGCGTGTGCGTGTCGTGATTAAACAACAACGTTATTAAACGGAAACTCGCTCTGACTGTTAATTACAATGCAATAACAGATGACAAGTCAATTCGTTAAATTAGAAAGTTAATATCTCAATAATAGAACATGGCCCATTTTGTTTTTGTTAGAATTTGCGCAAGATGTTTTTTATTGCCCGGGAGAATTTTTATCTTTTTCTCACAAAAAGATATATCGATATTAATTTTTAAATAATTTGAAATGCAATTTATTTTCCGATGAAATATAAATATTTACGATGTATTGTTCGCGTTTGCATTTTCCCAAATACGATTTGAATTATACAATGATTTTCCGAGATGTCCATTAATATTCCACATGATATCCTTTCAATATCTATCCACCGGCAAAATTATTATTTGCAATCGTATTATTTGCATTCGCGTATCCCGGCTTGTGCCCTTATGCTCATTGTCAACGTGATTTAAATACATAGCAAATAAAATATCGATTTGACCGCTTCTACTTTGCCCTCCTCGCGCACGATTGCGGTTAAGCTCCCCGAAATAGCCTTTGAGCACTGATTATGCAATTTCGCGGCAATTGGATGCTCAGCCGCATTGATCGTGATTGCTCGCAAACCAATAATCTCAGAAAGCAAATCAAGGTCACTCTAATATCGGTCTAAACGTCATTTCCTAGAAGGATCGGAAATCAACGTTTGCATTGCTCTCATACATGCAGAATGCACAATTACTCTTATTAACTTTCCTTTATTAGACATGTAAAATAACATTTTAATGTATACTTATTTTACACTTATTTGTTGAAATATTGAATTCTCATATCTGGATACTGTAAAAATTTAACGCATTTGAGCAAGTATCTATTTTTCAAAGCGAAAAATTATTTTGAGAGAATTATTGGAAAAGATCCAACGATCTGAATTTTCCAAATTTCCAAGTAATTAAGAATTTAAATTAAATTCTTTTGAGCGTCTATTTTTCAAAGCGAAAAATTATTGTGATAAATATTCGAAGATTCAATTTTGTTTCATCTAAATTTTTAAAATTTTTAGGTAATTAAGAAACTGCTTAAACATCAGATTAAAATTTAAATTAAATTCTTTCAAGCAATCATTTTTCAAAGCGAAAGATTATTGTGAAAAATATTCGAAGACCCAATTTTGTTTAATCTAAATTTTTTCAAATTTCCTACAGTCCTATATAGAGTATATATTTTAATTAAGAAACTGCTTAAACATAGAATTAAAATTCGAATTAAATTTTTTTGGAAATTTATTTATTTTTCAAAGCGAAAAATTGTATTGATAAATATTCGAAGATCCAATGATCTAAAATATCTAAATTTTTTCAAATTTTCACGCAATTAAGAAATTCCTTATAAAGATCGGATTTAAAATTCAAATTAAATTTCTTTCGAGCAATATAGCACGCTATTAAGACGCAGTTAATTACGGTTTCTTTTACTAATAGCATCTGTTTCTCGTGCTCGCAGTAAAGTAACAGCAATTTTTATAATTCGTAAGGTAAATAAATTAATGGAGCTAATAACCAGTTTGAAAAAACGAATGCCGTTACTTTTCGTCCGAAGAAAAAAGCGGCGGTTTTGTGAGGGAGATCAATTTTTTTCGCTAGCCGACAAAAGAGGCGCGCGTCTCCTTGGAACGCTGTCGATTAATTATCTTCTTAATTAGAGGGTCGTGATTTATTATGCGATCTTTAATCATTGGTCTCCGCGCGATGCGGCAGCTTAATTTTCGACGATCAATTAAACTACAATGTAAAAGCCGATTCTCCATATTCAAAGTTAAAAGCACATATCGGTGCTTAAATTTAAAGCATAGTACTCAAACCTAAGATTTCGAGTTAGCGTTTGAATTACCGATCAAATTTCCCTTCGCGACAGCACGGCGACGTCACTAGGGCTCTCTCGAAGGGTGATAAATTATTCTACGAGCCCGGAAGCGGGATAAATATTTGTCGAGCGACGTACTTTATTATTTATGAGATCCTTTGTGAATGGCAAATAGAATCTTTGCGACCGTATTGCGCAATGTACTATACATATATGTATAATACATATGTGAGTTTGTGCTTACGTCGTAAAATTGCACACTTTAATTCGGAAAAAGTGAATCGTCGTTCTCACGTAACATGCAAATCGTATATTTAACGATTGCATATGGAATAATTGTTACTTGTTATTGAACTTTCATCAACGGAACAATACGCCGTAAAGCATCGGGTAAAATTTATCTTTTGCTAGAAACAATATTATTCCTTACAGACACTGCGATATAATATCAAGCTGCAGTTATATCTGCAATTTACTTACATTTCACGGTCGGCAATCGCGTGTGATAAATTTCTTATAAATTTAATTAATGAATTAAGTATACATTTTATATTTAACAAAGAGGAATATTAATAAGAATATAAAATGTACTTACATTATATGTGTGAAGTTGTGTATTTATGTTATTATGTTATGTTAAGTTATATTGAATACTAATACACGATATATAAAATATTTTAAATAATTCAAGAATTTATGGCAGTTAAGATTAATCATTACTTTGTCTTTTTTTTCATGTAAGCTTTGTTATCGATATATAAAAAAAAACATTGAGTACGAAAAGTACAGCAATATCTGTACATTTTATGTATAACAAAATATTAAGAACATAAAATTACATTAGGTTATATTAAATACTAATTAAATAATGAAAAAATTTATTGAAAGTTATAGTCAATCGTCACTTTATGTTTTTTCGTGTAAACAGTTTTTGTTATCAATATATTTCAAATATTCAGCACGTGCATTAGTGTCCACAATTCTGCAATTTCAAAGATTGTTGTTTTTCTGATTGAAGATGTCCGGCAAATAAGGGCATGCAGTAATGAGGATGACAAGAAGCTGCTTGAAAACCGCAGAACGTAATCCACCGTGCCGTGACTGAAAGTGATTCCGTGAAGATTAAACGACGACGATTCATCTAATCGGCGAGCGTCGATCATCGGAAAATTGATCGATCATCGTGACGTGAAAGACTGAAGACCGCACGCGGAAAAAGGAACTTTCATTCGGTGGAGATCATGGTGTGACTCGTGTGCGGCCGATAGAAGGAATCCCTTGGGGAAGATTGACGAGGTTGTCTGGTGGTTGTGTGATTCCGGTGGTGGTCGGTTGTAGTGCTGGTATAGTGGTGCTTGATACGTAGCTGCGAGTCGGAGGCCCGTTGGCGCTCAGGCGTCGTCTTCGTCGGTTTACTCATGCTGGGAGTGCTGAAGCGGCGCTGGAAGCCATCGAAAAGGTAAGTGAACATAATCTCGGCTTATTGCCAAGAATACATTATTTATTATATCACGATACATTGAATAGACCCGTGGGCAAATACCCTCATTAAATATGACTGCAATCTAAGCATTTATAGGGAACTCAACCCTACATTCAATATAAAAATGCAGTATTTGTGTATATTTATCTGAATTGTTTCAAAGTATAACATTATCTTATATTAATATAAACAGTTGTTTACATTACTGGGTTATTAATTATATAATTTTAGCATGTAAAAAGTAAAAAGAAGATAGGCTTAAAGAAGAAGTAAATAATCTTTCTCTTATAGAAATTTTCTGATTTTAATTCCTTTCCAATACAAAGTATCACTGATATAATTTTACATTTGAATCCTTTTAACCCTAATTTGGTATTGTTATTTTTGGTTACCTTCCTTTTTGGCTAATTCTCCAGCTAGGATTTGTGAGATTCTGCAACTTTGTCACGCTACATCTCTGAACTGAATACGTATTTTTTAGCTCAAAATGTGTGAAATTTATATCTCGAAGTCAGACAAAGACAGATGAATCAAATAAATAATATTTTATTTTCAATTAATTACAATGCTTCGAAGAAATGTTATTGAAAAAATTCGCAAAAAATTTCCCACATTGGGAAAAAATTCTAAAATTTAAATTTAATCTGGGTCTTCAAATTATATTATAAAAAAGTTAAAGCAATGCAAAAAATCGCACAGGATATGTTGAACTCATGAATACCATACTAGGGTTAAATTTTGTTTTAATTATTAATTATTAACGAACGGAAAATCTGAAAATTAATAATATTTTTTTAGGAAGGCATTTTTAGCAAGTTTTTTTTCATCAATATTATTTGTTCGAAAAGTAAAAATTTTTGGAATGAAAATTCTACTTGATTTTCTCATAAGCTACTTAAAATTATTGTGCCCATCTTATTCATTTCTGGTAGAAGTTAATCTGCATTAAAAGATAATAGTTAGAAAATTGCATTGGCTTAGTTACGCACGGACTTGATTCGACTTACGATGATTTATTTATTTCCCGGAGACAAGGGTTAACTCTGGACCAATTCTGAAATTGCCCTCGGTTAACTTTGGGTTAACTCTCTGGGTCATCGCACGATGAGTCCCGCACGTACGTTAACCTTTGTGTGACGCGATATAACGAGTGATACTCAACTACAGTCGTATTTCACAACGTTGACTCTTCACTCGCTTTTTAAAGGAGAGTGGGCTCGAAATTATTTTTAACAGTCCGTGGCTTTTATGTTTCGTTCCTTTTGCGACGCGTCGAAACGCATATTCGCTAACCTTTTCTGATTTTATTATATAATGAAGAACGTCTTTACGCATACACATATATTAAAAAATATTTTATATTTGCGTTAAAACCGGCTTTTGTTACAATTTTTGTGTTGTATATTTATAAACATATCCGAGCGTTAATTTAACATTTAATTGTGTTATCTGAATATTTTATATCAAACTAATATTCTAAATTTTTTGTGCTAAAATATCACACTTTATGAGTATGTCAACAAATAACATAAAAATAATGTATTTTAAAATGTAAATTCCAAGATAAATGAAAATTTTAATTAATTTAATATATTATAGTTGTTAATTTTATTGAAGAAATTTGCTTACAAATTATATCAATGTTACATTTTTAGTATTAATTTTTTACACAATATTTATATTACTTTGTAACATATTAATTCTTATGTTAAATTAACACAAAAATTTGGGTGGAAAGCCGTTTGAGATTTGTGAAATATGTTAAAAATACAAATTTTCCAACTATTTATGCGGAATAAATTTTTTTTTCGTTTCATATATATAATTTTTTTTCATATGTAATGTGATACTTTAGTTTATATTATAGCTTATATCTTCAAAGGTAGTATCAGTTTTTTTACGTAATCGTATGACGTTATCTTTTTTGCGATATCATGTGTGATTGAAATATATATCTCGCAGATACTATATACTAATATTTGTTGATATTTAAACGTTGAGATAATTTATTATCATTATTAATGTGATATGCTTGTATTGAAACAATTCGAGACACGTAACTATGACGTGGGATAATTGGCCGTCAACATTGGCATGACAGGCGAAACGACTGTCACATGCCATATCGACAACGTGTCAACATTGCAATTGACGTTACGTTTCCGCGACTGCATGGAAGTTAAATCTCCCCTCGAGAGAGATTAATGCATCAATAGCGTCTTAAAAAAGGAAAGCAGCAAACTGCTTCGTGCAATCACCGCGCATCCTTAATGCATCTAATCCACGCGTGATAAATTATGCTAACGGTTTGTGTCACCGTGTATGTACGAGGACAACGCTATTGACAGTTGGATAAATAATTCTGTCCGACGCGTGTGATTACGCACGATCGAACGTTGCATAGCTTTACATAATGAGTCCCGTCGCGACCAATTCGAAGGAATTATCACGACACCTGCTGCATGCCAGGCCTTTAATTAATGCCCACTTTGAGTTCCCTGTATCATCAATGAGATATTAGACGGGGGAGAAAAAAAAGGGATAATACCGAATGTGTGGCATGATAATGCAGCATCGAAAATTGTGACATTGAATGTAAATTTTCTCATGTATGGCCGACGCATATCACGATTATAATAAGATTTCTATTTCTCCTCTATCGCACGTTATCAATATTTCCATAGTCTGAGCGCAATTACTGTTGATTGATAACCCGAAGCAGATACATCACGGCTCTTTATTAAATGTTACTGCAATCTCCGCGGGAGCTGTCTGCTCGATGGAGTATCTGCGGATGCTTCCAAGTTTCCTGAAGTCAATGCACTTCCGATGTTCTTTCTTCTTCGAAATGTTAAATTGATATTCAAATAATCCACTTTCATGAGAAATTCATTCTTAGTATTAGGTGTTGGAATTAATTCGTAGCGTTTTTAATGAAAGAATGTTATTTATTTCACATGAGCATTAAAAAATACATTAATGAAAGTACTTCCCATCACTTGTAAAACGCTACGAATTAATTCCAACACCTAATAGAATACAGGACTAGAAATATCGCGTTAAAGCGATAGCTGAGAATGCGATTTAGAATTGAATATATTAGAAAATACAAAAAAAAGATAGAATTAATATCTTACTTTTCGAAATGCAGCTTTTCTTAGATTTACAATGCGATTACAAAACTACTTAAATAATGTTTAGTTGGAAAATTGATAAATTTAATACAATTTGCATGTAAACGATCTACGTAATATAAAATGAAACTAGGAAATAAATATTATATACCGCGTGTTGCATCAACATATTGATCAGTATGTCAACTATTTTATAAATGTAATGCCTACTAGAGAGACATTACATTTATAAAGTGTAATCAATCGATTAATTTTATAAATGTAATATCTGCTAGAAAAGATATTATATTTATAAAATAATCTGACATACATATTGATCAATATGTTGATGTAACACGTACAAAATTAATTTAAGAAAATGTAACTTTGATTTTTATAAGCAGATTGTGTGAAAGCATATTTTTCCAGTAAAATTAACCTTTGTAATATGTAAATATGTATGTATGTATATTTTATTCATTTATCTTACAATTTGTTTTAAAATTATTTTTGTGTTATTTGTTTACTTACTCATAAATTGTATTATTTTAACATTAAGAAATATTGAATGTCAATTTAACACAAAGTATTCAAATAACACAATCATATTATGTTAAATTAATACGCTAAAAATTTAATACAAAAATGTGAACAAGGACCGGTTTAATATATATGGAAAATATTTTTTTATCTATTAAACAAATTTTAAGGAAGTTATGAAAAAATAACGATTTTATTATACTTTTGTTACAATATCAGCGATATTAAAAGCGAGTATTGATATTTCCATTTCTAATTCTTCACGATCTTACTTCTTGCGTAAATACTACGAACATATACACACACACACACACAACACACACACACACACACACACACACACACATATATATGTGTGTGTGTGTATGCACATAAAGTCATTATCGAGCCACCATCTTTGCCGAGATAGAGTGGAAACACGCGGGGAAAACAGCGGGTAGCAGGAAATTTATGGCGCCGACCGGGATTAGTTACACGAAGTGCGCTTTTCGAGGCAACTTTTCTGAAGCTCGACGGCAATTAATTTGCGCGCGGTTGCGAGTCCACGTCGGCACGCAGGAATTTACGCGCACGACATTCGCGAATGCGCGCACTGTGAGAGAGAGAGGAAGTTACGCGGCGGCGGCGAGCTAATTTTAGAAGTATCACCACGACCGATCTTTTCTTCGCGGGAGCATAACCGCTTAACAGCTCCGCTAGAATGTAGCTACGCTCTTATGATCTTGTCTTTTCGTTTTTGCGTAAAGAGGATTGCGGAGGAATGCGTTTTAAAATTTATTGTGACATTGCTTGACATCGAGGCATATTAGTGTGGCATAATAGTTTCTAAAGTTGATGCGATTAATTTGAGATGCCCGAAAAGAAATAGTTGCTTAACTTAATTAACTTGATTAACGCTAATTAACACGATCACCTCTGCGTCTATAATATTGAAAGATTATATGATCAGAACACGTAAGAGAATAAGAGAAACTCAATATTAATATTTATTATTAAATATTAATGTTAGTTTTTACAGAAACGTTTTTCATTGTTTGATATTTTTTTTCTTAATAAACTTGAAGTAATTTTTTTCTTAATGGAATGTTAATTTCAGGACATTGCAGGAGATTTTTTATTTTTTTAATTTTTAAGTTTAAATTTTAGCATTAAGTAAATTTTCATCTTCAATTTGAAAAATTGAAATTTGTACAGTGTTACTTTTTTTTTATATGTCTAAAACATAACATATTTTTCATCATTTTTCATAACATTTTATCTAAGAAGAAAGTATGCCTCAAGTTTATGAAAAAAATTTGGCTCTAACATTTTATGTAATTTCTG